TAGAGAATACATATTATTATTTTAGAGAATATATAATTATTTTATAGAATTATTTTTTATATAATTATTTTATAGAATATAGAATTATTTAAATCATTTTATTTAAAAATAATGATTTAAAAATAATCATTTTTTAATCATTGTCAAATAAAATAATTTAAAAAGAAGCGAAAAAAGGTTAATTTTAAAATAAAATATAATATATTTACCATCAGATTGCTCCATCAGTGCCCGATGTCTCTCCCAGACCTCCACCTCCTCTCAGAATATGCACAGGACACTCGCGTAAAACACTCGCGAATACATTGTAATCGCGCGCGGACTATAACTTGAGTCCGATAACTTGAACGACACTCCCGAAACGCGCGACGCGACGAACCGGCTGCGGTTCGTTCATTCTTAAATCGGCGGCGAGGGTACGTTAGCTTCCCCGTTGGATTTTTACACGAAGAGAATGATTTGACTCAATATCTAAAAATTTATCTAGATATATTATATTTAGATATCCGAAAATTTTTAAATATTTGAGAAAAAACATTCTTTTCGTGTAAATATCCTCTGGATACTGAGCCCTCCCACCACGTCAAGGTCGTACCCGTGAGAGGGAGGAAAAATAATCTGAAAAATGTAATATATAGTTATTATCTATATTACGATCGGTTAACATTTAGAAACGAACGTCTGCATCACGTCTGCAATTCGTTATCATTGCGAAATAAAGTCAGAGCGGATAAAAGAGTTGAGTCTTTTATTTAGACATAAGTAATTAGAGTCTAAAATGAAATAGGCTAGAGATTAATAAAAAGAAAAATGTTTCTTTTATTATCGATAAATAGTTATGGTTAATTTTTAAATGGATCTCTGTATAGAATCGAAAGGTGTCCAAAAAAAATTTAATTAATTATTAAATTATATTCATTGTGAAAGCAGGAATTGCAATATTTTTGCATGAGAGTATTCAAATTAACATTGCTATGACTCTTGTGTGATACCATTCGTATAGACAAGTAGCCCTGTCGCATGGCGCTCTTCCTCACATTTCTTTTTGAAAAGTAAGTAATCGCGAAAAATGCTAGATATAATACGAAAGTTATATTTCATGAATATTCATATAATACGATTGCTAGTATAATTAATTATTCATAAAGCTTCGTATTAAATTTAGTATTTTTTGCGATTACGTTTCAAAAAGGAAGAAAGAGCGGCAGAGTAAAGAAGAGCGGCACGCAGCACGGATACCTACCTGTACGAGCTTCGGTAAGACGACTGTACGGTAACTACGCATAAACATGACGCTCCGTTCCGTGCCACCCCGTGCCATCCCCACTTCAAGGTCGCGCGTCGCTCGTCTAACTGTCGAAATATTACCGTTAATGCGTATTACAAAATTAAAATCGACTCGTTACGTTTTAATATTCTTCGATGAATATTACACGATGTTTTATTATACTATTTACGTTTAATTTATTTTCGTTTAATTTCTTGAATTCGTTACGCACATAACTCGTCTATATCTTATCTTCTTAAACCAGTATTGATAGTCAGAGCTTATATTCAAGATCGTCTTAAGTACAATTTTAAGAAGTTACGAATCAGAGGACCGTATTAGTGTCTTAAGACATTACTTAAGATAGTCTTGAAATAAGAACGGACTATGAATATCGTCCTTGGATATCTCTAATTTATATATCTGTAAATGTATAATATAAATTCTATTTATATTCATTATTATATTTAGTCCAAATTGTTTTATAATTTTAAAAAATGTTTGCGTTTATCTTTATTTAAAGAATGTATAACTTATTATTAATCTTTATTTGAATGTAAATCATCAAAGAGAGTAATAAAGATTGAGATATAACTCTTAATACACACCTTAGTTTTAAGCAACATTACTATTGGGCAGCCTTACGTAGAATTAATCATCAATTTGCGTTAGTGAATATTTAATTTTCGTAGATTAATGCGCGACACCTAAAACGACTCCGCCTCCCTCAGCGATCGCCGAGCGAATGCCGAAGTGATGACGTAGTCGATCACCGCGCCGCACGGCACGCTCTCCGCTCCCCTCGTTTTTCGCCGCGTGACCTTCCCCTCGTTTTTCATCGGGCTCTGTTTAGATTATACCCAATTATTGCGTATGAAAAATATTCAACAGTTTATTCAATTTTTAAATATTATTCGTATTTTACATGATTTTGACAAACGGTATCGCCGTATATTTTTTTGTGGCATCTCGGGCACAATCCTATATTACTAGCATGTTCTTTTAAATGAATTAGTAATTATTCGCGTGAGATATTTCAATATTATGTCTCAATTTTCATAATTCTTTTTAATGATTCATACTTCAATAAAAGTTGAGAAAATATTCTATATATGTTCTTTATATAAAGATACATGCAAATTTTTTTAATATCGTGAAATAATTTGCGCTAAATACAGCTTTGTGGCTAAAAGTACTAAATATCTTGTTCATCATTATTTCATTTTTCAATTAATAAATTAATTTAAGACATTATTATATATTACTGCAAATTATCCGTGTTTCAGAAATTCTTTAAATTTACGAATAACGCCGATCATGGCTCGATAAAATAACATACAAATTATTTAAAATAAAAAAAAAAAATAAATTCCAGAAACTTATTTAAAATATAAAATCGTAAGAATTTGTAAAAAAACAGGTACAGCTTGTTAAAAATAAAAGATATAAAATAGTTTTTGGAAACTTATATAAAATATTAAATCAGAAATAAATTAGAAGTTATTTAAAATAATAAATTAATATTAAATAACTCTTTTAATTTTTTTATTTAAATTATATACTTTAATTTTCGTCGCTTTTACAAGTATGTAAAAATTATTAATCGGTTCTTATATTTTGATATCTTCAGAAAGTATTTGTAAAGTTGTATATTTATAACAAATTGTATATAAATTGTTATAACTAAATATAATTAACAAAATGAGAAAACTGTACTTTTTTATACAAAAATATAAAACTCTGAAACAAAAATATTTAAAGAAAAAATATGTTTCAATATCTAATCTATAAAGTTGATAAACTACAAAAGCAAAAATCGTTCAAGTTTCGGGTGTCTAAAAAACTTAATTATTTAGTAACTCGAAGATTATGTTTTTTTAGGTTCGTGAAACACGGATAATTTGCAATAGTAATGTCTTAAATTAATTTATTAACTGAAAAATTAAATGACAAGATACTTATATATACTTTCAACTGTCTGCATTATTTAGCGCAAATTGTTCCGCAATATTAATAAAATTTGCATATATCTTTGTATAAAGCATGTATAGAATATTATCAACCTTAAATTATTTATGAATCACTAAAAAGAATAATAAAAATTCAGACATAATGTTGGAATATCAAAAATACTCCACGCATGCAAACACAAGTACTGATTACGTTTACAAGAACCGCGCAAATATTATAATATATGATTTAACAAGGGCTAAAGATGTCACAAAGCAAAGTGCGAAATGTATGACAATAGTCATTTGTCAAAATGTATAATTGAATAATACGTTAATATTTTTCATACGCAATAATTTAAACGGCGCTCGATGAAAAGCAAGGAGAAAGGTCATGCGGCGAAAGCGAGGGGGAGCGGCCCGATTGACTACGTCATCACTTCGGCATTCACTCGGCGAGCGCGGAAGGGAATAGATGTGTGGCACGACCGCTCCGGGTGTCACACATTAATCTACGAAAATTAAATATTCACGAACGCGAATTGACGATTAATAACGTAAGGATGCCCAAATAGTAATGTTGCTCAAAACTAAGGTGTGTACTAAGAATTATATCTTAATCTCTTTATTACTCTCTTTGATGATTTATATTCAAATAAAGGTGAGTAATAAGTTATACATTCATTATATAAATGCAAATATGTTTTAAATTATAAAACATTTTGGACTAAATATGTAATAATGGATATAAAGAGAATTTTCATGTTATACATTTACAGAGATACATAAGTTAAAGATATCTAAGAGCGATTCTCTTTCGTTCTTATTTCTGTCTTAAGTAATGTTTTAAGATATTAATACGGCCCTCTGATTAGTGACTTTTTAAAATTGTACTTAAGATAGTTTTGAATATAAGTTCTGACACTATGAATACCGGCCTAAGATATAGATGAGTTGCGTTCGTAACGAATTTAGAAAATAAAATGTATAATAAAGCATCATGTAATATTCATCGCAGAATATTAAAACGAGTAGATTATTTTACTAATTTTGTAATACGCGTAATATTTCGACAGTTAGACGAGCGACGCGCGACCTTGAAGTGGGGATGACACGGGGTGGCACGGAACGACGCGTCATGTTTATGCGTAGTTACAGTCATTGTCTTACCGAACCTCGTATAGATAAGTAGCCGTACTGCGTGCCGCTCTTCTTTACATTCCTTTTTGAAATGTAATCGCAAAAAATACTAAATTTAATATGAAGCTTTATGAATAATTAATTATACTAGCAATCGTATTATATGAATATTCATGAAATACACTTTCGTATTATATCTAGCATTTTCCGCGATTATACTTTTCAAAAAGAAATGTGAGGAAGAGCGCCATGCGACACGGCTGCTTGTCTATACGAACGGTCACATAAGAGTCATAGCAATGTTAATTTGAATACTCTCGTGCAAAAATATCGCAATTCCTGCTTTCACAATGAATATAATTTAATAATTAATTAAATTTTTTTTGAGCATCTTTCGATTCTATACAGAGATCCGTTTAAAAATTAATCGTAACTATTTATCGGTAATAAAAAAAGAAACATTTTTCTTTTTTATTACTCTCTAGCCTATTTCATTTTAGACTCTAATCATTTATGTCTAAATAAAAGATTCAGCCCTTTTATCTGCTCTGACTTTATTTCGCAATGATAACGAATTGCAGACATGATGCAGACGTTCGTTTCTAAATGTTAACCGATCGTAATATAGATAATAACTATATATTACATTTTTCAGATTATCTTCCCTCTCACGGGTACGACCTTGACGTGGTGGGAGGGCTCAGTATCCAGAGGATATTTACACGAAAAGAATGTTTTTTCTCAAATATTTAAAAATTTTCAGATATCTAAATATAATATATCTAGATAAATTTTTAGATATTAAGTCAAATCATTCTCTTCGTGTAAAAATCCAACGGGGAAGCTAACGTACCCTCGCCGCCGATTTAAGAATGAACGAACCGCAGCCGGTTCGTCGCGTCGCGCGTTTCGGGAGTGTCGTTCAAATTATCGGACTCAAGTTATAGTCCACGCGCG